TTTGTTCCGTCTTTTCTGGTGGATTAAACTGAAATTGCAACCAGCTTTCTATGGCTTGTTTAAAAATAGTGATATTACGGAGATTATTTCATTTTCAAATAACTGAAAGTAAGAGGTTGCAATATCAATAAAGGGGAAAAGTATATTCTTGTACATGGAGTCATTCTAACTACTCTGCTGGAAAACCAGTTTGGATTTAAATACAACTTTTGCCTGACTGAAGCCTTTAGTGAGAGGTTCAATGCATTCATATTTAATAATGTAAGCCCTCCAAATTCATATTCATTATATAAATAGGCCCGTTTAATTTTTTCTGGTTTGCGGTTCCAAATAAAGTGGAATATTTTTAGGTCATATAATTTAAAAAACAAGTTGTTTGGTGTAGGCATGGCCATAGGTAAATAGGTAAACTGGGTTCAGACTAAATAATTAATCAGGGTGCTTTTTCCACAAATAGACAGGTATTTACCTTTCCATGGTAGCAAGATCTTATCTATTTTTGCTAACTTTCTAGTCAAATGTATTGTAGTGAGATGTTTTTGGGGGGTTGCTTGATTTTCATGTTATTTAGGAATTAATACATGTCACATATCAGTTTACAAACAATGAAAAATATATATATATATCATTGAGTTAATAAAGCCGCATACAAACTTGGTCTCTTTTTTGCTTTCTTGAGTAAGGCAGCTCCAAAATTAAGGTGTTTCAGCCTAGCTCAGTGCTTTCTGTGGTGGTGGGGCAGCCAGCGGAAAATACGGAGCATAGGGGTTGGTAATGTTCTCTAGTTGCGCCGTGATTGGCTCAGTGTTCTGTCACTCATAGGGACACTACATCACAGCCAAATGTAAAGGTAGAGCTCGAAAATTCAAGCCCCTTGGGTGCTGCCATAGAGTTACATTAGAAGTGCCCATCCAAGAAGGCTCAAGGTCATTGGCCACAGATAAAATGACATCAAATCACGTTACTACAGTAGCTTTGATTGGACTGATCATGTCAACATCATACTTTCAAAATCTTAGCTAGCTGTCATCATCATGAATCAAGTCACAATCTACTGGCAAATTATTTTTTGTACTTGTCATATGAAGAGAAATAATGAAGAATAATTATAGATAAAACTTATCGGTGCTTATCGGCCATTGGACATAAACATTATACAACAAGTTGGAAATGGGAAATTCAACAATGAGTGGTTTGGAAGGAATCAGTGGCTAACTGTAAGCATTTCAGTGAGTTCAAGACAACTGGGAACTTGGGAAAAAACGAGCTCCGACTGGGAAAACATGTCATGAACGGTCATCCAACTCAGAATTGTAAGCCTCTTTTTAGGGCTCCGACCTGAAGATCACTAACGTCATCATGATTCGACCTTGTTTTTTTCAAAGTTCACAGTTGTCTTGAAAGCACCATAAATCCAGAGAATGACAGACTTTGATGACAGCACAACAAGGTGAGTCCAAAAATGTATTGTATGCTGCTGCATAAATGATGTAATATGCCAGCGAGATATGTATACTGTAGCTAATAATGTAATACTAAGTGTATGTTGTGTAATAAGCTGTTAGTAGCCCATGTGCCTCACCCTAATAATTTGGTCCTGTTTCCCCTCTTAATTTCGCCTACCGTTCTGACTTGGTGGTGCACATGTAGCCTATAGCCTGTTTTAGAGAAATGTAATCATTGAATATTGTAAGAGCTTTCATTGTCTGCTCATATGCCCCCTTTATTTATCCTACGGTTCTGACTTGGTGTACAGGGAGAATACTGTAAGAACGGCCCATGTTCTGAATTCTGTCGCTGTACATTTCAAAAGTGCTGAACAAATTGTCATATTGACTACGTCCATCCTAGCTCGAAATTACAGATTGCCTCTTATCTGCTCGTCGTCTCCTTATGCCATAGTTTGTACATCTCAATTGTCAGTAGAAACCACATTTGTTTAAGCAAGTCAGCCATATCAGCTACGTTTTTTTAAAAGGCAGTAAATGAGGCTGAATGAACTGTTTCGCTGCCAGACAAGGCTCCGCTGATAGCCAGGTGTAGCAGTGGGAAGGTGTTGGGACTGTTGTTGGGAATCTGCTGTTGGGACAGCTTTATGTAGGCCCTAACAGTTTGTGGGCACCGTTAGTCACCATTATAGTGCAATTAATGTATTGTTTAGTGTTGTGTTGTGTAGTGGCTTTGCTGGCATGCATAAAAATAAAAATAAATGTTTCCCCACCAATGTTTACATGCTAAAATCGCCACTGCATAACACTGAGTCTACCTTTAAAATAAATGTCCAGTGTTTCCAGATTCCTATTAAATGTGACCTATAATTACTTACAATATGAGTTAAATAGTTTTCCTTCCACAGAAATGTAATTAAGTATGTTAAAAAGCAAGTTTTCTGTGTTGGAATGGTGTGGGCGTACCCCAACAACAGAATGGTGTGGGCATATAACGGTGTAGGGATGTCGCACTGACTGAAGACCAGGCCAATTCCAAATGCCTGGCAGTTGGCAGACCATACCCAATACACATCTACTTGCCCATTGACATGCCAACGGTAGAGATGAAAAGACGTGACGCAACCCATTCACTCTTTTCCCCCTTTCCCAACACACTCCGGATTACACGATAACACTCCAGAAGTCCATTAAACGTCTGAAAATCCACTTTAAACATTCTATCCAGGACAGGATCGCACAGTAACTGCAGGGGCTTGCAAAATGGCTCGCCTTGCGCTAAACGGACAGAATCCAGACCTTTCATATGGAATCAGGAGAACATTCTTGTTAACAACAAAACCTTGCTTTTATGGATAAATTATTAGGCTACATAAGGACCTAGGCGCTGAAGCAACAAGTGTACTGATGAATGCTATGATCATTGTGTGCTGTAGAAATGTTCAATGACATTGTGTATTCACCCCGTTGTGAATAAATTATCTGTATTTCAAGGAGAATATGTCATGTTTTGTATCATTATGTTGGGAACATTAAGCCCTGAACAATTACCCACCTTTCCCAGTTGTACAAAGGATTTGGCCATCAATAATGGAACACTATTAAATTCCCTAAGGAAAGGGACTCTCCTCCCTGGGGCCGGGTAAGAGAGACCTTTCCTACCCTGTTAAGCGAGAACACAGAACATTTCAGCCAGTCAGGCAAGGAGCTTCAGCACCTAGCTCCGCCCCCACTCTCCATTGAACTGAACTATTAAAGCGGCCGACCGAAATCCATCTGCTGCTTAGACATCAGCTTAGTTGGACACTGGAAAGCACCCTTGCTTACCTTCAGATTGTAATTGTGACACATAGGCCTATGGTTTATCCCTACTTGCTAAGAAAGTTACCTATCAATTTAAATTATGTTGTGGAAAATAACCACTATACTTTATTACAAATAATATCTTACAGAGTGTTTGTGGGATCAATAATTACTTTATTATAATGTCAACAAAGTCAGGCCAACCTGCAGATTCGCCCCGTCTCTCTCTCTCCCTCCTACCTATATAGTTTCCTTTCTTCCACCCTAGGTTCAAATCCCTCCCTCCTTAGTTTCCCGCTCTTTATCACTCCACACCCACTTCCTTTGTCCCTGAGGACGGCTGAACTATTACTTCAACCAATCACTGCTCCCCTGTCTTGAACACACACTCATGTTTAGTCTCAATATGACAAGGCCCTAAATTCTTGACACACACCCCACCATGCTGTAATCAATCAAGAAGATACCAAGGAGACCAAGGTCTAGCCCAAACTCCATTCAACCCTGGTTCCGCTCTCTTCACAATGTTTGAAGAGAGAGACAAAAGGCAGCCATGGATTTAAGTAAGAGCAAGCACTTTGACCCTAGGGCAGTTTCTCTCTACTCCCCCACACACACAGTGAAATGCCCCAATAAAATCCCTAGTCCAGTAACAAACAATTCTAACTCAATGTTCGTGATTTACCCAGTTCTATCTTCTAATTTATTAAAGAATATACATCAATGATAAATGGTGCCCTGTTTATGGTGGAATAAAGATAAACACATATTTTATATGACATAATTAATTACCCAATTACATAGACATTATCATAATGTTAGGCCACTCCTCTACACCGGTAATTCTAAATATTCATGCGAGTAGACCACTGATTAGCCAGCTCATCCTCTAGACCTTTGATTGACCAGCTCATCCTCCTCAGGAGTATGACATCATTATCTGAGGAAATAGCAAGCATTTTTTAAATGGTCTGTTTGAGATACAAGTCTGAGGTGTTTATATATATATATATATATATATTCTTTGGCCACAAATACGAGTATAAGACGAGTCAACATTATTTGGGTGTAACTTTCCATTTTCACTGGACAGTTACTTTAAATTGAATACTGTTGGTGTGGGTGCACTTGCAGTAAAAAAAATTTTTACATCACATTTTTATAATTTCAATTCATTTACATTACATTTTAGTCATTTAACAGATGCTCTTATCCAGAGCGACTTACAGTTAGTGAGTGCATTCATTTTTTCATACTGGCCCCCCGTGGGAAACAAACCCACAACCCTGCCGTTGCAAACGCCATGCTCTACCAACTGAGCTACAGGGGACTACATAGGATTCGTAAAATTCATACAATATGCGCATGGGTCAGATGAACATGCAGCTGGTAGTGAAGTCGTGATGCAGGCACAAGGACCAGAGATTTTGCAAGGTCCAGACATTCCCACTCTCGACAGGCCTGGGATTTGAACCAGCAACCCTGTGGGCAATGGTTCACCTCTTTAACCATCAGGTTGTACAGTACATTTTTATGGTAGCCTACACATTAAAGGGCTGACTGAGTAAACGCAGACTGACACCACTTCTTTCTCCAATACTTTCCAAACATCACTCTGTGTTACTGTATGTTGGTGTTTTCAGAAGACACATTAGTTCTGGTTCGGTAGACTAATGTTTGCCTTTTTGGTATTTTGAACTTTATTTTCTTCCAAATTCTCCTCAGACAATGCTGAAGTGAGAGCAGAACATGGACGTGGTTGTGTGCAAAAACCACAGAGGACACCAGGAGTTTGCTGTCCAGGTCCAGCACTTGAAACTGTCGGACCTAGGACTGAGACTGAAAGCTCAGGGCTTTCACAACAATTACCTCTTCAAAGACAACATCCCAGAATACCTAAGGCCAGAGTTCCGGGTCTCCCAGCTCAGACACGACACGAATGAAGGCGGGCTATTTGGCATAGCCGTCGAAAGCCAAGGGGGGTTCCGTGCTAGGGGCCGAGAGGGGACAGAGGGTTTGGACCTGCTGTGGTGGAGCTTGTCTTTGGGAGCGGAGGAGATGTCCTCGGCTGAACAGCGTCTGCTCCAGGCCAGGTACCCTGACAGGACGGAAGAGCAGGCCAGGGAGCATACATCCTTCCTGCAAAGGTTCGCCACCTCACCTGCCTTCCTGGACACCTCCCGTCTGGGCTCCTACCGCTTCACCTTCCCCCTGGAGGAGCTGCTCAAGAGATATCAGGAAAGGGTACTGAAGTGTTGTTAGTGGAACAGTTACAATATCTGTAGAATTAACATACAGGACTGCTGGGTAGTACCAATGGAGGCTGCTGAGGGGAGGATGGCTCATAACAATGGCTGGAACGGAGCAAATGGAATGGCATCAAACACATTGAAACCATGTGTTTGACGTATTTGATACCATTTCACCAATTCCATTAAGGTACCACCAACCTCCTGTGCTGGGTACATACAGAGACCATGTGAGAATTTGTGGTCAAATAATTGAAAGAAACAAGATCATGTAATTTAATGATAATAAAGGTATTTGTCTTTTTGTTTAGCTATGTGTTGGACACGAGCAAATCCTGCGTGTGTATGAGACAGTGCTGTACAAACAGGAGGTGATGTACTCAGTGCTAGTCCACAGTCACTTCAACAACGACCTCTTTGAGAAGTACCCTCTCCTCCAGGACAATGATGATGGAGTCTGTGCTTACAGAGGAACAAAACCCTGCACACCCTGTATCTCTCCAGGACAGGTTTTAAGACAACTACTTCGTTGGCATAACTTTTAAAGGTACAGTAATGTTGCCAAAGCAGTGAATAGCAAGACTTTACAATCAGTATTTTGCCATTTAGCAGACGCTTTTATCCAAAGCGACTTACAGTCATTCGTGCATACATTTTTGTGTATGGGTGGTCCCGGGGATCGAACCCACTACCTTGGCATTACAAGCGCCGTGCTCTACCAGCTGAGCTACAGAGGACCATATGATGACAATTGGAAAGTTAAAGTTAATGTTGTTATTCTTTCAACATGCTTTACTGGTTTAAACCCAGCAGGCTAAACTTGTTTGTGCTTTTGTTAGTCAGCAGTAAGATATTGTTTGTCAGGGTTGAGAACATAGTACTTTTGTTAGTCAGCAGTAGTATATTGTTTGTCAGGGTTGAGAACATATTACTTTTGTTAGTCAGCAGTAGTATATTGTTTGTCAGGGTTGAGAACATATTGCTTTTGTTAGTCAGCAGTAGTATATTGTTTGTCAGGTTTGAGAACATATTACTTTTGTTAGTCAGCAGAGGTATATTGTTTGTCAGGGTTGAGAACATATTACTTTTGTTAGTCAGCAGTAGTATACTGTTTGTCAGGATTGAGAACATATTACTTTTGTTAGTCAGCAGTAGTATATTGTTTGTCAGGATTGAGAACATAGTACTTTTGTTAGTCAGCAGTAGTATATTGTTTGTCAGGTTTGAGAACATAGTAATTTTGTTAGTCAGCAGTAGTATATTGTTTGTCAGGATGAGAACATATTGCTTTTGTTAGTCAGCAGTAGTATATTGTTTGTCAGGTTTGAGAACATATTGCTTTTGTTAGTCAGCAGTAGTATATTGTTTGTCAGGTTTGAGAACATATTGCTTTTGTTAGTCAGCAGTAGTATATTGTTTGTCAGGGTTGAAAACATATTGCTTTTGTTAGTCAGCAGTAGTATATTGTTTGTCAGGATGAGAACATAGTAATTTTGTTAGTCAGCAGTAGTATATTGTTTGTCAGGATTGAGAACATATTACTTTTGTTAGTCAGCAGTAGTATATTGTTTGTCAGGAATGAGAACATAGTACTTTTGTCAGTCAACAGTAGTATATTGTTTGTCAGGGTTGAGAACATAGTACTTTTCTTAGTCAGCAGTAGTATATTGTTTGTCAGGAATGAGAACATAGTACTTTTGTTAGTCAGCAGTAGTATATTGTTTGTCAGGTTTGAGAACATAGTACTTTTGTTAGTCAACAGTAGTATATTGTTTGTCAGGGTTGAGAACATAGTACTTTTGTTAGTCAGCAGTAGTATATTGTTTGTCAGGAATGAGAACATAGTACTTTTGTTAGTCAGCAGTAGTATATTGTTTGTCAGGAATGAGAACATAGTACTTTTGTTAGTCAGCAGTAGTATATTGTTTGTCAGGAATGAGAACATAGTACTTTTGTTAGTCAGCAGTAGTATATTGTTTGTCAGGAATGAGAACATAGTACTTTTGTTATTGTTGTGCCTTTGCTCTACAAGGAGCTAAAAGGACTCAAGTATTTTTGTTAAGTTAGAATTTCTAAGAAAATAAATATTCTACATTGGGACTAAACTACGTATCCCAGTCTCTCAATTCAGCCTATGGCAATCCTCCATCACAATGCTGTTGACATTATATGTAATGCTTTATTTAATATCAACAGACTGACATGACCTCTGCTCTAGTTTCAGCCCTTCTTTAATCATGATGGGCGTCCCAGGACGGGATCGGCAAACGTATCCTCAGTTTGTTTGGGAATGTTTTTTACAGTAGTAGTACAGCAGATCATTATTAATTATTTTTGCAGGGCAATATTGTCACTTTGTTGTCACTTTTAAATATTTCTGCTGTATAGAGCCAGAGTAATGGTAACTCCCACCTTGTGCAACGTTTCAGACGCATGTCACAGAGGGTAGGATCAAAACTAAGGCCCCAGCGAGAATTGAACTCGCGACCCCTGGTTTACAAGACCAGTGCTCTAACCACTGAGCTATGGAGCCATACATGTTCATGAGAATAATTGGAATGCTATAAAGAACACACCCATCAGAGAGTTAAAGAAAGAGACACACCTAAGTAACCAAACATGCAGGTTACCTGGTCTGGCTCCTACAGAAAAAGCAGATTCCTTGTCACCCTTTGTTATACATTTAATGAAAAACTCTCCCCGATCTATGTGACCCTCAGGCAGGTCTGGTCTGGTAGTCTCCTTTAATTGCCACCTCTCCTTCTTTCCTTGTCTTCTCTCCTTCATTACCAATTAGGGGTAGATCAGCTTTAATATTGCAGATAGATCCCACAATCTATTAATGTAATTGTCTGCATCATTTCCTATCCCCCATAAAATGTTTACAACATTTTATTATTTTCCCTTAACCATTTACATTTACATTTTAGTCATTTAGCAGACGCTCTTAACCAGAGCGACTTACAGGAGCAACCCTACCACCCCTCCCCTAATGGGAGTAAACTAATGGACAACAATTATTAGGCTCCTACTTCCAGCTTATACATACTATATATATATTTTATGGACACGGTATATTTTACATTAGTCATCTATTTTTATTTTGTTTTTAGTCCCACCCTTCAGCTACCCTCAACCCCTCCCATCTATCTCTGAAAACCATACAGTTTTTTTTGTTAGCTGCATGTGTGACATAACTCCACCAGTCATATTTATGACATCATTAACAAAGATTATACAATTTGTAATTTTTTTTTCCAAAAGTCATGATTTTTAAAAATCAATTAGTAGATTTGAGTTTAGACATAATATTTGTTGTAATAGGCCTTTCCTGGTGGATTAAACTGAAATTGCAAACTGGGATGTGACTAAATTTTTCCACAAATAGACTTATCTATTTTTGCTAACTTTCTATTAAAATGTATTGTAGTGAGATTGTTTCTTTCTTTCAGGATTTTAATACCGAGTACGTCCACTTTACCTTCAGACCATTTTATTGGTAAACTACACGGTAATGTGAAAGCAATCCAATAGCCTACTTAATATGGTACATTTGTCATAGTTCAGTTGTAGTTCAGAGGTTAGAGAAATGATATAGATCCTCCATGAGGCTTTGCAGAGATCCAAATGGTGGATTTAAAAGAAAGCATGAGTCCTCAGCGCACACTGACACTTTGTTTTTAAGCCCCGGATTTCTAGCCCCTTGATATTATTGTTGGATCTAATTTTAATAGATAACATTTTGATGGCCATAATAAATAGATATGTCGAAACTGGACAACCTTGATTCACTCCTCTTGACAGTTTAATACTTTCTCAGAAGTAGCCATTATTTAGTATACTGAACAAAAATATAAACGCAACATGCAACAATTTCAAAGATTTTACTGAGTTACAGTTCAAATAAGGAAAAAAGTAAATTGAAATAAATAAATGAGACCCTAATCTATGGATTTCACATGACTGGGAATACAGATATGTGTCTATTGGTCACAGATACCTTTAAAAAAAAGGTAGGAGTGTGGATCAGAAAACCAGTCATTATCTGGTGCTACCACCATTTGCCTCATGCAGAGCGACACATCTCCTTCGCATAGAGTTGATCAGGCTGTTGATTGTGGCCTGTGGAATATTGTTCTACTTCTCTTCAATGGCTGTGCGAAGTTGTTGTATATTGGCGGGAACTGGAACATGTGGTCATACACATCGATCCAGAGCATCCCAAACGTGCTCAATGGGTGACATGTCAGGTGAGTATGCAGGCTCTGGAAGAACTGGGATATTTTCAGCTTCCAGGAATTGTGTACAGATCCTTCTGACATGGGGCCGAGCATTATCATGCTGAAACATGAGGTGATGGCGGCGGATGAATGGCACGACAATTGGCCTCAGGATCCCGTCTCGGTATCTCTGTGCATTCAAATATCCATTGATAAAATGCAATTGTGTTCGTTGTCCGAAGTTTATGCCTGCCCATACCATAACCCCACCGTCACCATGGGGCACTCTGTTCACAACGTTGATATCAGCAATCTGCTCGCCAACACGACGCCATACACATGGTCTGCGGTTGTGAGGCCGGTTGGACTCACTGCCAAATTCTCTAAAACAACGTTGGAGGTGGCTTATGGTAGAGAAATTAACATTCAATTATCTGGCAACAGCTCTGGTGGACATTCCTGCAGTCAGCATGCCAATTGCACACTCCCACAAAACTTGAGGCATCTGTGGCATTGTGTTGTGTGAAAAAACTGCAAATTTTAGAGTGGCCTTTTATTGTCCCCAGCACAAGGTGCACCTGTGTAATGAACATGCTGTTTAATCAGCTTCTTGATATGCCACACCTGTAAGGTGGATGGATTATCTTGGCAAAGGAGAAATGTTCACTAACAGGGATGTAAAAAAAACTTGTGCACAACATTTTTGAGAAATAAACGTTTTGTGCGTATTGGAACATTTCTGGGATCTTTTATTTCAGCTCATGAAACATGGGACCAACACTTTACATGTTGCGTTTATATTTTTGTTCAGTGTATTTTACAACTGGGGTTGCTATACATAGCCTCACTTTAACCCATTGTATAAGAGATTCTCCTAAATTAAAATAGTCAAGGCATTTTTATGCATAAATTCTATTCGTACTTTATCAAAGGCCTTCTCAAAATCAGCTATGAATACTAGGCCTGGTTTCCAAGATTTTTCATTTTTCCTTCATGACTATTGGTCTCCACCATGTTGCTTTCACCTATCAAGTTTCTATCATAGCAGTGGTCATAGATGAAAGGACAAGATCACCCCACAGTTTCAGTACTTTTCAATGGCCTGCCGTTTCCATTTTTTTATAGATCAAAAACCAAATAAGTCTGGTTGAGAGTGTCCTATCCTAATTAATATTAACATTATGGGTGGAGATGTAAATGTTAAAAGAGAGGGCAAAGACTGGTGAATTATTACTAATGACCACCTTCCGAAGACACTTGAAACCCTACCTCTTTAAGGAATACCTGGAATAGTATAAAGTAATCCTTAGTTTCTCTAGAGCTAAGTTAAATCAAGCCCGAACTGTGTGATGTAGTAGGGAGTTGTAGTTTCCAACAGGCCAATATTCTTAGCACAGAAAACGTGGTAATTAACTACAATGACCATAATACATTGCGCACCTACTTGTCCGGTCTGTGTTTCTTTTACGCCTGCTACTGTTCGGTTAGTGTGGGTCAGACAAGGAGAGCAAGACAAAAGACAGCAGAATGCGCAATCGAGAGGGGTCTCTACCTAAGTGATTGATAGTTGGTATTCAGCAGTCATAAACTGCCCCGTGTAGCTCAGTTGGTAGAGCATGGCGCTTGCAA